TCACTCTGCTTTCATACCTGAGTGGCACCAGGAGGCACTGCTTGGCTTCTATGATGATAGTCATGGATACAAAGCTGATGAGCTTTGTGATAGAGGAAACTAGATTCAAATACAGGTGAGAGAAAGATGCATAAATAGATAGGATGGATAGGTACAGATAAGGGGATAGGTGCAGATACTGGTGGAGATGGAGATATAAATGATTAGGCTGCCATGCTGGGTCATTGATTTTATCCTAGTTTGAAAAAATTACGCTGGTTTTCTTTTTTTGTTTTTGAGACAGAGTCTCGCTCCATCACCCAGGCTAGAGTGTGGTGGTGCAATCTCAGCTCACTACAACATTTGCTCCTGGGTTCAAGAGATTCTCTGGCCTCAGCCTCCCAAGTAGCTGGGATTACAGGTGCCCACCACCCAGCCTGGCTAATTTTTGTATTTTGAGTAGACACGGGGTTTCACCATGTTTCCCAGGCAGGTCTTAAACTCCTGACCTCAGGTGATTCACCTGCCTCAGTCTCCCAAAGTGCCGGGATTACAGGAGTGAGCCACTGCAGCTGGCCCCCTGGTTTTCCAATATACTAATTAAAGGTGATGATTGACTAATGTACTCTCTCTGGGGAATCTGCTAAGGGCTGAATTTAGCCTTGTGCAGAGCCACCTTAGCCACAGACTGTCACAAACGTGTTCCGCATGCCTCTCAAAGTAACTGATTCTGTCCCTGAAGGCTTTTTAATCTTGCAGTATCACTCAACCCAAAAGAGAAGACAGCCGAAAGGCGAGCAACCATCCTGTTGCTAATATCAGTCACGATGCTCACTGAATGGCTGAGAGCATTGTTCAAAGAATCATAACACAACAATATTTGTCAAACAATGAACACCTTGCAAATCTTCAGTGTTGTGTGCCCAGGCTTCAGACTGACTTTCCTTTGATGTTATCATTTATATACTAAAATACATTTATAAAGACATGAGTTTTCATTATTTTTCTCATACTTGTGTAAACTTTAATGTCTATATCTACACATATGCACATATTTATAATTACATGTATCTCACATTCTGGCAATTTGATATTTTACTACATACATCTGGCATAAAAATTGTACTGTCAGCCAAGCATGGTGGCTTATGTCTGTAATCCCAGAAGTTTGGGAGGCCAAGGTGGGAGGATCACTTGAAGCCAAGAGTTTGAGACCAGCCTGGACAACATAGCAAAACCTTGTCTCTTAAAAAATAATAATAAATAAAAATAAAATAAAGTTCTGTAATGCCTTCATATGTCCACCAGAGGGAGATCTATACAAGCAGTTAACTTAGCAATTAGGCCTGGGCAGAGGACCAAGTCCTCCCCAGCAGGAGCTCTTTATCGTAAAAAATAAGGGTCTTAATCTCAGCAAGTAAATTTTAACCGTGATCACAGTTTCTCTTTTTCCCATTCCAGAAATTCTAGACTGCACAGGACTGCAAAAAAATGAATGAATGAATGAATGAATACAAATAAATAAGAAAGAACAAACGAACCACTTTGACCCAGAAAATGCAGTGTTCATTCTTCAGAAATGACTAGCTAAACTACATAAAGCAAGGGGTTTATTTGTTCTATTTATTTTTTATTACATACATAATTCGCACATGTTGCATAATGGAGAAAAGGCATGTACTATGATGTCTCCCTCCCAATCCCTTCTCCACCCTTTTTCATACAAACTATATCTATTCATGCTGTTTATCACCTTGCCTGTAAAGTGAACAAGCAGTGTACTTGGAGATCATTCTTTATCAGTACATAAGGCACCTCTTCCTTCTTTTTGGTGGCTCCACAGTATTCCATTGTATGAATACATCGACTTGACTTCTCTGTCTCCTACTGGTGATGATTTAGTGTTCTCCAGTCTTTGTGATTTCTAAATGCTGTGGTGACTGGGAAGGCTAGGTGCTTCCTTAGCCTATTAATGTTCTGCAAGGACAGAGGCTTTTCTAGCTAGCCCCTGCCAGGCATGACCACTTAGCACGTCAGGAACGTCCTTATATGTTACAGAAGTCTCCACTGCTAAAGTTCTCACAGTCTTCCTTCTGAGTGCCACTGACATTTTGTGTTTATGGCCCCTTCTCTCTCCATGTCTCTCTAATGATCTCTGCATCTCTGCACCCAATTTGCAACTGGCCTCCCAGCTTCTTGGGGTGATTTCTCCATAGAGACCATCTCCAGAGACGGTCTCTGCTGCTGTGATTGGCGCCTCCCTATTTCCCTGTTACCTCTTTTGATTTGAACCTTCCACCTTCATCGCTCCTGCAGCAGGCTCTTCACCACAGATAGGTTTGCAGTGGGCACAGCTTCTTTTTTATTAAAAAAAAAAGTATTTAGTTTTTCTTAATGCAAAAAGGATAAGGAAGATAAACTTTACCTATAATCCCACCACCCAGAAATGTCTGGTGTGTATACTGTGGCACATGAAAGCCTCATCTTCATATCGAGTGAGTATAGTTACAGCTATGTATAGATGTGTGATCATTTATAGCTTCAGTATACATAAGACTGACCCCGCACACTGCATTTAACACTATAAATCTCATAGGCATTTTTCTTGTCATTAACATTCCTCATAAACATAATGTTTAAATTTTAAGATGGAGCCTTGCTCTGTCACCCAGACCAGAGTGTGGTGGCATCATCTCGGCCTGTTGCAACATTTGGATCCTGGGTTCAAGCGATTCTCCTGCCTCAGCCTTCTGAGTAGCTAGGACTACAGGTGAGCACCACCATGCCTGGCTAATTTTTTGTATTTTTAGTAGAGATGGGGTTTCGCCATGTTGGCCAGGCTGATCTCAAACTCCTGGCCACAAGTGATCTGCCTGCCTTGGCCTCCCAAAGTGCTGGGATTACAGGCATGAGCCACCGTGCCTGGTTGTAAACATCATTTTTAATGGTTTACATATTTATTTGTATAAATGGTAATTTACTTAGCTTTCTTCCTTTGTTATATTTTTAAGATTGTTCCCTTCTCTTTTTAAAATTATAAATAAAGCTACTCTCAACATCATTGTGAGTATACATTCTTGGCTAAGTCAGGATTCTGCCTATTAGGCATTCTGACTTACCATTATCTGCTGCCTTCTTTTTGGGGCCATTTCCCCCAGACCTCTATTTATCTTTATACCCTCCCAAATGGCTTTTTTTGTTTTTTGTTTTTTGGAAGAGAGTCTAGCTCTATCACCCAGGATGGAGTGCAGTGGTGCAATCTCAGCTCACTGCAACCTCTGCCTCTTGGGCTCAAGTGATTCTAATGCCTCAGACTCTTGAGTAGCTGAGACTACAGGCGCATGCCACCACATCTGGCTAATTTTTGTATTTTTGGGAGAGAAAGGTTTTCACCACATTGGCCAGGCTGGTCTTGAAATCCTTGTCTCAAGTGATCTGCCCACCTTGGCCTCTCAAAGTGCTGGGATTATAGGCATGAGCCATCATGCATGGCCCCAAATTGCTTTCTTTCTTTCTTTCTTTCTTTTTTTTTTGAGATGGAGTTTTGCTGTTGTTACCCAGACTGGAGTGCAATGGCACAATCTTGGCTGACCGCAACCTCCGCCTCCTGGGTTCAAGCAATTCTCCTGCCTCAGCCTCCCGAGTAGCTGGGACTACAGGTGCGCACCACCATGCCCAGCTAATTTTTGTATTTTTAGTAGAGACGGGGTTTCACCTTGTTGAACAGGATGGTCGCAATCTCTTGACCTCGTGATCCACCCGTCTCTGCCTCCCAAAGTGCTGGGACCAAATTGCTTTCTTTCATGAGCCGGGGAATGCTGCTTTCAAAGCAAACTAGTGTTTCAAACATTAAAACTAGATCGAGTCAAAGGATAGGGAGTAGAGTAGACTTCAATGTGTCCTGAGAGCTTTAGATATATTCTCTCACTTGTTTCTTAAAATGACTTTGTGGGAGGCAGTTTCACGTTTTCACTTTATAGACAAGGACACTGAGGCTCAGAGAAGAATGAGTAACTCACTCAAGGTCACACAGCTAACAAATTACAGAGCTGGGATTTGAATTCATGTGTGTCACTCTCTGAAGCTCGAATCTGCTAGAGGGTGTAGACATAGGCTTTAGAATTTTTCAGTAATGAATTTAAATTCTGAAGTAGTTTGATAGAAGCCAAAGTAATAGTGTTGCTGGTGGGACAGGTCTCTAAAAAATGAAAAACCAAAAACTGATTTGTAGTGTTTCCAATTTCTGTGGTGTAAATACTCCCACCATAGTTAATTTCAAGCTGTCAATGGTTTAACAATCCACTTACAGAACTCCTGAGTATGTAACAATCCGTGCAAGCTGATACAGATGGTTCTTTCATCCTGCTGGCCAAACATTTAATTACTTACAAGTGCCATTTGTTTTTTTCACTCTGTGTTCTGGTTGGTTAAATACCTAAACAGGATGTACTCATTTCTAAGTGAGGCAGCTGAACACATCTACAAAGTCTAAAAATCAGATTTCCAAGGCCTCTTTAAAATTTATTCTAAAGTTCAGTGATTAATAGGGAACAAATCTTCTCACTATTGAAGCTGATTTTTTTTTTCGCATGTGAGCGGCTTTCTGTTTTTATGACTAACTCTGGGACTCTAGTCTTTCCCCAAGGATAAGAATTAAGATCAAGAGATGGGCTAGTGATAAATCATTAGGATGTGGTCAGACAAAAAGCGAATTCACTATGGCTGTGTTCTGTAGATTAGACTATCACCAGAGGATGTAATTAGAGCCTGCTGTAACATGGTTTTAATCAATGATGGAAATAGGGGTAGGAGAAATGTACAGAAATTACTCCTAGGACTTTCCAGCACTACCGGGTGGAAACCACTTAAGAAAATCCAAATGGTTTAACAGTAACAGAGGAAACTGTTGCCATTCGCAAACAATGGCTTCAGGAAACCAGCGGAAGCCATCACCTTTTTTCAGAGCTCATGGTCTGCCCCACCTGAACCTTTCCCCCAAGGCTGCATGATGGATGCTTGAGTCACTGCTGAAGCTGCTTGCAGCCTGTTGAATACTGGTTTTATTCCTGCCACTTAGGGGCACTAAATAATTGTCACAATATACTTGTGATCAGGAGAGAGGGTCTGGGGATGATCTGTACATTTGTGCAGTGACTTTTTGGTGGCTGAAAGAACAAGAGAGTCCAGCCCCATCTTTGATTACTTAGCCTGAGCTGGAGGATTTTTCAGGCACTGTCTCATAGCTGGAAGAATCTGCGTCCTTGGACTAGGTGGGAGGTATTCCCACTTTGTTGGTAGTTGGCAAAGAATGGTGGCTCTCTCACTGTAGACATTCTCATCCTGATCAGCCACCTTATTAAGAGAGGAGGGCAGGGAATTCTAGCTGGACTTTTATTTCAAGGCTGTCTTCCTTGCCTGTGCTGATAGATGTTCATGGATTTGCTCGTGGTCTTCAGATGCAAACAAGATCTTTTTGTTTCCACTGGGGAGCAGCATGAGCGAAAGAATAGACTGAAGTGTGTGTCATCTTACCTTTTCTACCTTAACCTGAATCTGTTTGAAAAACAAAACAAAACCCAAAGAAAAACAGAAAAATGTGCTGGTACCACCTGGGCAGCTATATCCTCTCAAAAGCACTCTGTAATTTGCCTGGGTGTCCTCTGAGATGACCCAGGGTGACTGCAATCTGCTTTCCGTCCTCTTAAAGGTGTGGATAATTAGTGCTTGCTCTCTGGAACCCTCTACTCTCCTGTTACACTCTCGATCCTGTTTTTTAAGAAAAAGAAGTCAGGAGAAGGTTGTAGGCATTGGCTCAAATACTCCCAGGACTTTATGGAATGCACTTCCCATTTACTATCCATTTCAGTGCTGAAACAATGCTGGGGGAAGCTGAGCTATAGCTTTACCTTGCTTAGTGAATAAATGGCTTCTTCTCTGTGTTAATGGTCTGCATGTCTTATTTCATAGATCATAGGAATGGGAAAGTACAGCTTTGTCATTGACTTGATTGTTTTTGTTCAGCCATGAGAAACACTCTCATCTCTGTCCCCAATCCCCTATTAGCGAAAAATCCCCAAATGCACTAATTCCTCCCTCTCTTCAAAAACATTACATTGTGATAGTAGAAAATGTGGAGGGTGGGCGTGGTGCTTTGACAAAAGGGAACCACTGAAGCCTGGTTTCTGCTTGCAAAATGCGTAGTCCAGTTGAAGGGACATGAAATCATTTGGGGAATCAAGGCCGCTCTAACTCTTGGCTCCTTGGACCGTGTCATCGTCTGGATGCCAGATAAAATACAGATGTTCAGCAAGAAACACAGCACCAGACCATTTTCCTCTTGGCTTGCACCACCTCTAAAATGCCTGAATGCCAGACAAACTCATTTTCAGCATTTTGGTTCAGCTATAACTCACAGAAGATATCCCAATCTGCATTGAATAATCTCCAGCTATGTCTCTGAAATAGGGCCCGTGTTCTCCCTGGCCTTCGGCTGCTGGGGTTTCGACGGTCTCTGAGCTGCTCTTCCATAAAACTGCGGTGGTAGATGGCAGCCATGGGCACACCTCCTCTCAAGCCCGGCAAAAGCCACAGAACTGTCACTCCCCCAGGCCTTTAGCATACTCCTCCTGTGCAGCCCTCTTTTCACTGCCATTGCCTCTGCACCGGTGATGCTTTTAACAAATTCCTACCTTGAAATCAAATGAAGAGCAGCTCCTGTTTTTGTGAGTTGTCTCTGCATAGAACATGAGTCAGATTCTTCCAGCAGGGAGAGGATTTTGTTTTGTAACCACCTCCAACATGGGGAGGTGGCTGAAAGTTTGTAATTACCTTGCAAGGAAGCCTACAACCGAGGCTCAAGTATGAGGAGGCATGTTCTAAAGACTTGGGGAGGAACGAGCAGCTGCAGGGCTTTGCTGTTGGATCCCAAGCTCCCACACCTGTGCCCTCCACTCCCTCCTCAGAAGCTCCACACATTCCCTGTCTGCAACTGGGAAGAGCATCTTTCAAAGGCAAGCTTGAACGATGGTGAGCTCTAAGAACTCAGCCACAGAGACCATCTGTTTTTAGCATAAATTCTAACACATTCGAGCAGTTCTTCCTTGTCTAACTGGAAAAGCCTACCCTACAGGTAAAGTTTCCTTTTACTGTAGTAAGAAGATACATGCCTGTGATAGAATTGAGTCTTTCCCTTCTGGGCCTACTTCATCCAGATAGGATAGACCAATCATAAATTGCCCTTTGGGCTCTCTCTGCTGGCTGAATGCCAACCTCAGCTTCCTACCCACTCCTGCCACAAGCATCAGAGAGACTCAGAAATGACCCCAACTTTCTTCTCTGCACAGCCTTTCTCTCCTGGATAACTAAAAAACCAGGGTTATAGAATGAGGAAAGCAGAGCAGGCAGCTAGACCCCTGCCCTAGGTCTTCTCAGGATAGGTTTGATAACAATGGTGAGCAAACCTAGAGGAAGAAGACATCGTTTCTTTCATGATATATTCATCTTCACCACCCTAATTTAATCTCTTTACATATATCTATGCAGAGTTTTTTGTTGTGTTGTTTTGTCTTCTTGAGATGGAGTTTTGCTCTTGTTGCCCAGGCTGGAGTGCAGTGGTGTGATCTTGGCTCACTGCAACCTCTGCCTCCCAGGTTCAAGTGATTCTCCTGCCTCAGCCTCCCAAGTAGCTGGGATTACAGGTGTGCACCACCATGCCTGATTAATGTTTGTATTTTTTTTCTAGAGAGGGGGTTTTGCTGTAAAATTCTTCCTTGGGCCAGAGATGCCCACACGCACAGACCCTGTGATCTCTGTTTGGGAGGCACATACCATTCCAGAATTTGCCCTCTGCCTGGGTCTGGGTGGCATGCACACACATCCCATGCAGCAGCTGCAGTCCTTCTGGGCAGCTGCTGCACTCATCACGGCCAGGGCCTGAGCAGGTTTCGCACGCTCGGTGGCAGGGCCCACATTCTCCCATTTCTTGGTCACCATAGAAGCCAGGGCCACATTGCCTCACACAGCTGCCACCTGTGTGAGAACACAGAGAGAAAGCATGAAGGCTTTGGTGCTTTATGCAAGGTCAAGTTCTAAAGAGGCTGGAGGAAATCTTAGGGACATTTTTCTTTGCATTTGTTTTTATTATTATTTTGAGATGGAGTCTCTCTCTCTGTTGCTGTGGCTAGAGTGCAGTGGCACAATCTTGGCTCACTGCAACCTCCACCTCCCAGGTTCAAGTGATTCTCCTGCCTCAGCCTCCTGAGTAGCCAGGACTACAGGTGTGTGTTACCAGGCACAGCTAATTACCTTTTCTACCTGAATCTGAATCTGTGCTTGAAAAACAAAACAAAACGAAACCCAAAGCAAAACAGAAAATGTGCTGGTCCCACCTGGGCAGCTATATCCTCTCAAAAGCACTCTGTAATTTGCCTGGGTGTCCTCTGAAATGACCCAGGGTGACTGCAATCCGCTTTCCATCCTCTTAAAGGTGTGGATAATTAGTGCTTGTTCTCTAGAACCCTCTACTCTCCTGTTACACTCTCGATCCTGTTTTTGAAGAAAATGAAGTCAGGAGAAGGTTGTAGGCATTGGCTCAAATACTCCCAGGACTTTATGGAATGCATTTCCCATTCATATATTTTTATATTTAATAAAATTTAAAATATATGAAATATATAAAATTTAATTTATATATTAATTAGTAGAGATGGGGTTTCACCATGTTGGCCAGGCCACCGTGCCCAGCTTTTGCCTTTGTTTTTAAAAAAAACAAGATTGCTTTAGCTTATTTTAACCAAGAAATGTGTTTTAATAAATCCAAGCCCTGCGCAGTGGCTCACGCCTATAATCCTAGCACTTTGGGAGGCCAAGATGGGTGGATCACCTGAGGTCACGTGTTCAAGACCAGCCTGGCCAACATGGCAAAACCCCGTCTCTGCTAAAAGTACAAAAAGTAACCAGGTACTGTGAAGGGTGCCTTTAATCCCAGCTACTCAGGAGGCTGAGGCGGGAGAATCACTTGAACCCAGGAAGCAGAGGTTGCAGTGAGCGGAGATGGCGCCACTGCATTCCAGCCTGGTTGACAAGAGCAAGACTTCGTCTGAAAAAAAAAAACCAACACTTTTTACCTAAGCCCTCTTTCAACTGAGAATTTACATTGGCCATTAAAGGGTTCAGAGCATCAAATACAGAATCCTTGCCTGGCTAATGTTTATTTCCAAACCAAATTAAAATTCCTCCTTGGGCCAGAGGTGTCCACATGCACAGACCCTGAAACCAATCGCATGTGCACTCCTGTGGTCCAGACTGGGTGGAGCTCCAGTGCCCGGTTCTCACCTCAGATGGTGCCATTTTCTGACTTACCCAAGAGAAAGAAGCCCTCTTCACACCAGTAACACTCATTCTGGTCACAGCTGCCGCAGTTACTGTTGCATGCCTTGCATTCCAGTTCCTTACTGTAGGTCTTCTCAGGACAGAGTTTATAACAATGGTGATCAAACCTAGAGGAAGAGGACATCGTTTCTTTCACAACGTATGTTGATGTATTTCTCTTCACCACCCTAATTTAATCTCCTTATATATCTATGTGGGGTTTTTTGTTGTTTTGTTTTGTTTGCTTGAGATGGAGTTTTTCTCTTGTAACCCAGGCTGGAGGGCAGTGGTGTGATCTCTGCTCAGTGCAACCTCCGCCTCTCAGGTTCAAGTGATTCTCCTGCCTCAGCTTCCCAAGTAGCTGGGATTACAGGTGTGTGCCACCGTGCCTGGTTCATTTTTGTATTTTTTTTTTAGAGAGGGGGTTTCACCATATTGGCCAGGCTAGTCTAGAACTCCTTACCTCAGGTGATCTGCCCACCTCTGCTCCACAAAAGTTGGGATTACAGGTGTGAGCCGCTGCACCCAGCCTGTGCAGCATTTTCAACAGGAGTAGATAATTGAATTTCAGGCTTGGTCTGTTGTGCCCACCCCAACCCAAGTCATTAAACACCGCCTTTTGGACCTCCAAGGACTCTTTATCATAGCAGCTGGGAGAAGGAAGGGATACTGATACTTATAGAGTATTGATTATGTGTCAAGTATTAGTTCATCGAAATATGTATAAATGTCTTATGGTAGATATTGCGTATCTGTAATTTCTAGATAAGGGAACAGGAGCTCAAGTTTAAGTGCTCAAAATCACACAGCTAGTTAAAGGTGGGACTGGGATTTTAACCAAAGTCTGTGTGAAAAGGTCGTTTGCATGATTTGTCACATAGCAACTGGCAGTGAGGCCTGAAATAGCTTGGTGTTGAGTCCAAGCAGCTTACTAAAATGTCTGTGACCAGATTATTAACAATAATAACAAAATGCCTTAGCTTTTATTTATAAATATTTTTATGAATGTTAACTGTTATTCTCATTATACAGTAAAATGTTGTAAATCAGACTCCACTGAATTGCAGGCCTACGTGAAGGGGGAGTGAACTGAAGCTGACCCCCCGCTTGATGAATTTCAAAGCATCAGCATGCTATCAGGGGAAATCTTTGCATTTCTTCCTTAACAACTCTTTTTCTTTTTTTTTTTTTTTTTGAGACAGAGTCTCCCTCTGTCACCCAGGCTAGAGTGCAATGGTGTGATCTTGGCTCACTGCAACCTCCGCCTCCTGGGTTCAAGTGATTCTCCTGCCTCAGCCTCCCTAGTAGCTGGGATCACAGGTGTGCCACCACACACAGCTAATTTTGTATTTTTAGTAGAGATAAGGTTTCCCTGTGTTGGCCAGGCTAGTCCCAAACTCTTGACCTCAGGTGATCCTCCCACCTTGGCCTCCCAAAGTGCTGGGATTACAGGTGTGAGCCATCATGCCTGGCAATAACTTCTACTGTTTAGCATTTCGCTAGCTGTATTCAAAGTTGCTAAATGTTTTCAAGTATTAATTACATATGTTTGTTTCTTGAAACAAATCTCTCATGTTTTACCCTTAGTGATGTTGGAGCATGTTCTTTCAGGGTATTTGTTTCTCGAAGGGTTTTATGAAACATGCACATTTACAAGTTGTGGTGAGCTGGAGAAGCAGACAGTTTTGGCTCCAAAGTTTAACAGAGGATGCTTAACAAAGTTTAACAGTGCCTGGCCAACATGGCAAAACCCTGTTTCTACTAAAAATACAAAAATTAGCTGGGCATGGTGGCGTATGCCTGTAATCCTAGCTACTATAAAGGCTGAGGCACGAGAATCGCTTGAACTTGGCAGGTGGACGTTGCGGTGAGCAGAGATCATGCCACTGCACTCCAGCCTGGGCCACAGAATGATACTCTGTCTAAAAACAAAAACAAACATACGTAAAAAAACCAAAGTGTGTCAGGAGTGCAGTGATGTGAGACATGATCAATGCAGAGAATGGCAGGCTATTCTGGAAAAGTTAGATTAAAACCATAAGGCTAAGAACTGATAAAGTTAACTGATCATTTTTAGTATGTTTCAGCTTATTGGACTTCCCTTTCTCTCCCATTGTATTCACTCCTTCTGTCTTCCCACCTATTGCCACATTTCAAGTGTATTTGTTTTTGGACAGGTGGGTTCCATGGATGGAGGGAAAAGGCAATGTGGTGACAGAGGAGGTGACCTGCCAAAGCCCAAATGTCCCAAATGTAGACCTGTCACTAGTTGTGGTGCAACCTGAGTAAAATCTCACCCCTCTCTGAGCTTCAGTTTTCTTTTCAGGGGATCAACATCCTCCTTGTGTTTCTGACAATCTCAATGGAATGATCAAGAGATGAAACAGTCATGAGACTTTGCATATCACGAAACTCCTGAGTTCTTAGGAGGACAGGGAGGGACTATGCAGCCCGTGCATTACACAGGGCTTTCCTTTCCTTTGCATCTCCTTTCTCTTTGGCTTTTCTTCTAGACAGTCAACAGGGTGTGCTGGAAGGTAGACTAGAAGAGGAGCTGATATTGAAACATGCCATTTTTGATTTTGTGGATTTTTATTAGAGTACATTGGGAGTGATGGTTAACTGTGTTTCATTTAACCTAGTGCTCTGTGTCTCTAAGTTACCTAGGAGTTGATTAAGAGCTAGCATGGCGCCGGGTGCGGTGGCTCACGCCTGTAATCCCAGCACTTTTGGAGGCCGAGGTGGGTGGATCACAAGGTCAAGAGATCGAGACCATCCTGGTCAACATGGTGAAACCCCGTCTCTACTAAAAATACAAAAAATTAGCTGGGCATGGTAGAGCGTGCCTGTAATCCCAGCTACTCAGGAGGCTGAGGCAGGAGAATTGCCTGAACCCAGGAGGCGGAGATTGCGGTGAGCCGAGATCGCGCCATTGCACTCCAGCCTGGGTAACAAGAGCGAAACTCCGTCTCAAAAAAAAAAAAAAAAAAGCTAGCATGGCACCTGGCTTCACCCTGGAGCCTTCACTCTGGTTAAGGACAAGGTCTCCATGCTGACATTTACAAACAGCTTGCTTAGGACCAGGTATGTTATTAAGGTCTGTCCATGAACAGCAAGATCTGAATCTTGGTAACCCGTGGCAGGATTCCTAGACCCCAGTGTCAGGCTGGATGACTTCCAGGACCAAGAAAGAGATGGCCTCCTTTCGAGGCAAGGAAACAGCTGGGCTCTTATTGCTAAATCCAAGAATTGCTCATTAATAGCCTGACAGGACAGAGTTGCTTCGGGCTACAGGGCCACTTTTCTTTAATCACAGGATTGAGGATTAAGTCAGTAATGCTTAAACTGCAGAAAAGTCAGTGCCATAAGAGGAAGCCAGACTTACATGTAATACCCCATAGCGCAAGGCGTGCAGATTCCTGGATCATCTGGAAAAAATGAAAATAATGAAAAATAATAATAACGAGGAACTTGTCATTTTGAAAAATAGACTCTGGAGAAGCTGTAGCTTGGGATAAACAATCCTGTGGGATATTTCAGGAAACGTGCTGTCCAGAAATAACATTTGAACAGATTGCACCATTGTTAATTAGTAATAAGATGTACAGTAGGATTTATCTTTATCAAACGCAGTAAGAGTTCTCATAAACATTCGGCCCTTACTTTCAAGGAGGAATAGGCTCCAGCTACTGGGTCTTCAAATTAAAGATCAATGACCATCCACATCAAGAACCCCCTGGCTTCTACTGAGGTAGAGGGATGAGCAAGTCCACAAACAAATATTTGGAAGGGGCTACAAGCTTCTGAATAGAGGGTTTTCCATCAGTTACCCCAGAATCTTGCCAGTGGAAATGAGCATCATTTGGGACACCCCTTTGAAATCAGCACAATTATTTTTCCCAAGTATCCACTTCAGGTTATGCCTGTCACAACTTTCTTTAAAAAAAAAAAAAAAACTGCCCTGTTCTCATTAAGAGCAATGATTCAGTGCATCCCTGTTGGCTCCGAGAAGGGTTCTTTCCTGCAGCTTTCAGGGGACTTCAAGAGAAAAAGAATTTTGAGAGTCATCATCATAGTCTGTTTCTCTCTCTCCTAACACTTCCCAGAAGATGCAACTCTCAGATATGGCTATGAAGTGCATTCTATGACTTTCTCTGGCTTGCAGTTCTTGCACGTAACAGAGTTATCTCTGGCGGATTCTTTCTGTGATCTCACCTACCCTCCAGTCTTGCTCTTTTTATTTTAATAGGAGATGAAAGGCAACTGCTCCTCCTTAAAATGTTCCTCTTGGTATGTGAAGATTTTACGTCACCTTTAATTAGCAAAACTATTATCATTTGAACTTTGTGCATAGCTTTCCTTTCTAATCTATTCTGGCCTGTTCGGATTTTCTCAGATTGCCTTTAGGAGGTAGAGACAGCCTCACCCAAATCTTAGTCACATATTCGTCTCCGGTCCTAGGGAAGCTACTGAATGATATTACTGTGTACTACACATAATACAATGAATGCATTGCACCAAATGTTAAGTGAGAAAATTTCTAGCAAAGGCTCTGCCAATTAAAGCAGGGATCTGCAGAACTTTCTGGAAATAGCCTGATGATGGTGCAGAGGAAGGAGTGCTGACCTGGAAATCGAGCTACCTGTTGGAAATTTCAACTCAGGCTTAACTGTCTTGTGAACTTGCACAAATGTCATTTTACTTTCTGGGTCCTGGTTTCTGCAGGTGTAAAATGAGCTGGTTGGACAAGATGGTTGTTAAGACTCCCAGAAAGTCACAGATTCTGAAGTTGAACCTAGCAAGAGTTGGCAACTATGGCCCACCCCAGGACCTTGACCTTGCCATCTATTTATATGTATTGTGCAAGAATGCTTTTATGTTATATAATCAGAGTTGAGTAATTGCAAAAGACTAAAGATGTTTACTCCCTGCTACTTCACAGAATTTGCCATCTCCTGACTATAAGCACTATCGGCTCACGACTTTGTCATGCTCTTCTTTGCTAGGGGACAATTACAAGTGTCTGTAATTGTTGTAACAGCTGGTTTCAGAGTTCCTCTTAGGAAAAGAACTGTCTATATTTAGGAAACTACTTTGTTAAGCTCCGTGGGGTAGAAGTGTAATTGGAAGAGTTGAACAAGAGCCAAGACAGTCAAAGAGATAGAAGGGCCCTTCTGCAGGAAGCTGTTATCTGCTCATGGGAGAGAAATGGTTTTTAATGTCTGGGTCAACATGGTTTGTAATACGGTGACTAAGACAGGACAGTGAAATGAGCCAAAAACCAAGCTAATTAGGTGGAACCAGGAACTGAAGCTAGAGATGCCCATGAGAAAAGCTTCCTGGAATTCTTAGAAATCTTGGGGAAGGCCAATTCACAAACTGGGGATCTGAGACCATTGCAAAGGTGTGCAGAGGCCCCAATGAATACCACCTGTTCCACTGGGCTAGTTCATTCTCCCTTATGAGTCTATGCATCTGTATTCTTTTCAGTTTCTTAATAACTTCCTACCCCTCAGCTTGCATTTGGTCCGCTTACTTTACTCTGCCTCCCTGATGAATGTATTTGACTCTAACAGTTTTGCTAATTCGGCAAGGGCTGGGGAAATCCTAATCCTGTTCTTTAATGTTCTGGTCATCCCTCCCATCTAGGAACTTAATGAGCTTGCTCTCTGCTCCTTTAAGCGGGTCACTGATGAGAATGTTAAACAGAACCAAGCCTCAGAAATGTGCATACCAATGCAATCTTGAGTTCAGGAACTTTTCCAGCCCAGTTGCACGGTGAATTTGGTACCTTTACAACAGTTTGCATAAATGAATAATGCATAGAACAGGAACTGTGTCTTATAACAGCTGATGAATGCCCATTAGTTTTTCTCATTATTACCAGTTGTTCTAAAAAATGAGAATTATTTAAAAAAAATTTTTCCACTTCAGAAGATCCACAAGTCAGACCTAAGCTAAATGAATTTAGCTTGACCACTGAGAGGCTGCTGTTATGAGATTAAGGAGGAAGGTAACAATCCCAAATCTAGAAGTTGACTCTAAGTCAGCTTGGCATTTAGATGGTAAGGAGGGGTGGCTTAAGGAGAAAGATGAATTTTCCTGGCTTCTAGTCTGTGTGTGACAAGGGGAATGGGAAGGGAGTCTAAACAAGCTACAGTTGTTAGCTGTCTTGGAAGGTGTTATCCAAAGTAGGATGTTTAAATAGCTCTGGTGATTTGATCTTGTCAAACTTTTGAGCTGAGAGAGCATATTTGGGGGGGAGAAGGGGAAAGCTCAGTCAGAATTCAGAGAGCCTCACATGTTTGGAAAAAAGCCTTCAGAAACAGTGGCTGGTTTCCAGCTGCTCATATCCCTGCTAAGGAGAACGTGTGAGCAGATGCCTCGTCAGGACAGGGATGCCGTCTTTCTGTCTTGAGAAACTCATTTTTACTGTCTCACTTATATGGGCTGGGGTGGGCAGGACTACAATGTCCACTCTATCTTGAGAGCTCTTCGTGATCCCCAGTGTCACCTTCCCATTGTGTCTTTGGGGATCATCCATACTGTCACTCATCATGAACTCACTGTCCTATGGAGACATTGCCTCCTGCTTCAACATCACCTTCAGCAGTCAGTTTACATTCTGTGCCATTTTATTTTGTTCTCAGTAATACCGATCACCTTCACCATTGAATTTGGATGGATGAGGGCCACAGTGGGAGCTGTGCATATCTTACCTATAAGATGTATTGGAAAGGAGATATTTTAAACTTGAACGTCTGGAGGAGAATTTATTTTTATGGTTTATATAAACCTGGTGTCCCATAATTCAGGACACACACAAGTGGAGGGTAAACATAACCATGGCAACCCCATGCAGACCGTGAGAGGGTCCTAGCCTCTTGCTGCTCCGTGAGAAATAAAATGTCAGCTCAAGTCAGGAAGCTGGCATTTTATGAAGATTCAATGTCACAATTACAGGGTGAGCCTGGCCACCGTGGCCATGCTGGCTGGCCGAAGAGACCAGGTCTCCCTATGGCATCCAGGCTGATATCAAACTCCTGATCCCAAGTGATCCTTCTGCCTTGGCTTCCCAAAGTGCTGCAATTATGCGTAAGTTATTTTGTCACTGGATAAAGACATTTGTGAAAAAAACTGGACTTCCAGGTTATTTATCTGTTTTCTAGCAGAAAAGCATGCAGTTTAAGATGGGATCTCACTGTGTTGCCCAGGTGGTTTTGAACTCCTGACCTCAAGCAATCTTCCTGCCTCAGGCTACCAAAGCCCTGGGATTCTAGGCCAGTCCTTGGAGAGACCAGGAAATCCAGAGTTTTCTCCGAGAATGGGGATTCCTGAGAAGTGAGTTTCACCTTGAATCAAGAAATGAGAATCATATGATGTCAAAGGCAATCCCCCAGGGCCTCAGGAACAGGGGAATGAAGAAGAGCTGGGCTTGACAGGATGATGGTGGTTCTCTCTCCCACCTAAAAGCTACCACTACCTCAAGACCCCCTCAAGATGGTGACCTGTCTTGGTTTCAACACCTTAAACAGGAAACATTGGGAAGATTCATACTTCTCCATTCCATATCAGACATGTCTTAGAGGAAACTCTTATATCTGAATGACCAAAGAAAAGTATGAGGAAAAATGCAAAATCTATGCCAGGCCATTCACAATTTTGCTGGTGCCCTGGAGTCCACATGCATTTCAAGAAGAATAAAGTGTGTCAAACCTGCAGAAGACTGAAGCATGTCTGTCAGACCTGCCTCTTTTTTTTTTTTTTTTTTGAGACGGAGTTTCGCTTTTGATACCCAGGCTGGAGTGCAATGGCGCGATCTCGGCTCACCGCAACCTCCACCTCCTGGGTTCAGGCAATTCTCCTGCCTCAGCCTCCTGAGCATCTGGGATTACAGGCACGTGCCACCATGCCCAGCTAATTTTTTGTATTTTTAGTAGAGACGGGGTTTCCCCATGTTGACCAGGATGGTCTCGATCTCTTGACCTTGTGATCCACCCGCCTCAGCCTCCCAAAGTGCTGGGATTACAGGCGTGAGCCACCGCACCAGGCCCCAGACATGCCTCTTAGACCTGGAGCATGGCCTGCCTATCCAGGTTTGTGATACAGAATTGTCTTTATAAGATGACATGCCAAAGTCAGATGTCAGAGAAGAGTACTACATGCAGAATGTGGAGAGAGGGGTTTCTAACTCAGATTGAAGATGGCCAGTTGGCCTGCTGGGGAAAGCCACATCCACCAGTGACATGCTGGACAAACTGGCCAGACCATACCCTATTACCTAAGGAATAAGCCCCACATTTTCTCCTTTTGGGGGAAGGGAGAGGGTAAGAGAGGAGAGGAGTTTCCATACAGACATGAGAAGCCTACAGGTCCACATGATTCCCTTGCTGATCAGATATTAAAGATCAATATTATGGAGTCAATG